ACGCGTTGAATTTCCTCCAAATCTTCTTGATGTGCTTCAAAAAGTTTCCAAATCGTGTAAGCACTATCAAAATGAGCAAGTTCGTTAGAAATACATGGTTCAAAAGTATTATGCAAGAATTCTAACACTAACTTGTCTATTGTAAACATTTTTTTATCATGATTGCTCCACTTGGATTTCTCTAATGTGGGCATAATATAAGCACAATCAATAATTTCCCATAAGTCGATATTTCTAGATTCAATAAATATTTTAAATTTAGAGCACCATTGAGCATAAGGGAAATTTCCCGCATGTAGTTCAAAACAGAGAGAAGACGATGAACGCTATTATCCGAGTCAGAGGGAATTATTCAAGTCAAAGAGGATCATCTGATGATAAAAAAGAAGTGAAGGAATGCACGTGAAATGTCAAAACATATGAAATGACAAAGCAAATACAATCAGGAGGGCTCAAGGTGGCTTGCACACGTGCGAGTCACTCTAGAGTGACCCGCACAAAGAAGTGAATTTTGATCATGATTGAATCCGAAAAATCTCAAAAGACAAAAGTTGTAGCTATCTTCGTTATCTTTCCATCTCATTTTGAATAACTTTATTCTGAGGTCATACGAGAGAGTTAAGACCAAAATACCGTGTAAGTGATCACCTCGAGATGACTCGCACACATGCGGGTCGCCATGAAGTGACTCACACAAAGAATTAAAATTTCGACCATGATGCGATTCAAATATGAATAATCTTAAAAGACAAAAGTTATAGGTCTCTTCACCATATTTCCAAATCATCTTGAATCACTTCACTCTGAGGTCTGACAAGAGAGTTAAGGTCAAAATACTGTGCGGATCACCTCGAGATGACTCGCACACATGCGGGTTACCTTAAAGTGACTCGCACAAAGAATTAAAATTTTGATCATGATGTAATTCAAATCTGAAAACGCTCAAAAGACAAACATTATAGGTCTCTTTTACAGACTTTCAACGCTTCTTGAATCACTTCATTCATAGGTTGGATGAGAGAGTTAAGGCCAAAATATCGTGCGGGCCACCTCGAGGTGACTCGCACACATGCGAGTCACCTTGAAGTGCCTCGCACAAAGAATTAAAATTTATACCATGATGCAATTCAAATCTAAAAAAATCTCAAAAGGCAAAAGTTATAGATATCTTCATCAGATTTCCAACACATCTTGAATCACTTTATTCTGAGGTCAGGCGAGAGAAATAAAGCCAAAATACCATTCAGGTCACCTCGAGGTGACTCGCACACATGCGGGTCACCTTGAAGTGACTCGCACCTGAAGAGTTCCCGAAACGTGCTTTTAATAGTTTTCTCAAGATTCTTTCATTCCAGAGCCTTCCCAACTACCTTGAGACTATCCTTAAACGTGGTTAAGGGGTTATTAACTGAGGATATGATCAAATCATCAATTCTTATTCGAAAATGCTGCATCCGAACCCTATAAATACAAGGCTAGGGCCCCTATACATGGGGGATCTGAAATTAGAGGTGAGGTGCTGTCAAATTGGAGAGTGAATCATGAATTTCAGAGGAGGGCTTGCAGATCTTGGCGAACTTCAGCATAAAGAGGGAGCTATTCGAAGGATCTGAGATTTGTTTCATCATTCCTTGAGATCAGACTTTGTTTTAATCTCGAAAAGAGTAGTAATCTCACTTTGTTAAGATTATTTACTTCTGCGATTGTTTCCTTTGTGAAGAAAGAGCATTAAACTTTCATTTTGTCAACCGGATCTGATTCGCGGCAATCCACGTAGAAAATTATCCCCAACACATGCAAAGATTCCACGCAATCAGCGGGTGATAAGCATCTTCTGCATGTGTTTCTAGAAAGTTGTATTTTTTTATTTTTATTATGTAAGAAAATCTTATAAAAAGACTAATTTTACTTTGAATCTGTAATCGATAAACGTGTAATAGATTCAGCAATGAAAATAACTTTCAACCCAAACAACCTCGATTAATTAGAAATTTGATTTTTTTTAAGATGACCTAGTTTCTAGCCACGATGCTGATGTGGCCAGAAGTTGGGTCAATTTCTGTAATAAAGTTTGGACTAGATCGATTTTTAAAATAAAAGTGTGGATTGGGTCTTTTTTTAAAATTTCTTCTATAATTGGGATAATTATTCAAGTGAGGTAATTTTATGCAAATGGAATACTTTAATGGGATAATCGTGGATAATTTTTTAGAAGCGGAATATTTTAATAAAATAATGGTAGATAATTTGGAGTAATTGGAAATATATAATTATGTATTTTGATGATATGACACCTTAATTGACATATTTTTAAGCTTACCAATATTAATTAATAATTATAAAAAGTAAAATTAATAAACATAATAAAAGCGAAATTATTAGTTAAACTAGATATAACCTTATTGTTAATACTTATTATTGTCAATGATCGTGTAAAACGAACTATCCTAGTAATAATCTTAAAGTATAAATTAATAGTGTCACACCCTTGATTATCACAAATACTGAAGTATAGATTAATAATATAGAAATTAATTTCAATCATATTTAATAATTTATTCTAAATTGAAGTCCCTAATTTCCCAAATTAATCTCAAGTATCTGATCTCTTGTCATTAATCTTTCATCTTCACTTTTTTTTTCCATTCATACTAATTGAATTTGATGCACTTGTTCCATCATTATCTTATACATTATTTATTACTAAAAATTTTCACTGAGTATTGTTGATTCTAAGTCAATATCTATTATTCAGTGTGAGTTATGTTTATACATAAAGGATTACTTATTCCTTTTTTTAATTAGATGTTATTCATTCAAGTTTTTTTATATGCATAGCAGGTGCTATTTTAGCATTTTTCATATATAATAATGCATAATGGATTAACAACATTCAATTTTTCGGACTCCATCATCAATTATTTTTCAACAGTTTAAAAGGTTCTAGTTTGTTCTTGTATAGTTTAAGTTGAAAAGCGGATAATTCAGAAAGAAGAACTCATGTTTTTATATATAGGTAAAACAACTAATGAGATAATTTAAAAATTATCGCAGTGCTAGTTCTATCAGAATTATACCTGACTAACAGTAACACCTTAAAAAATTATCCCAGTTTTAGGTCTAATTAACTAACACTATAAAATTTTATCTCACAAATTATCTCAATTTTAATTTTGAGTGTTAATTGACTAAAATCCCCTTAAATAATTTTAAATTGGTTTTCATTTATAAATTAAATACTATTTGAAAATTAAATTCTTTAGTAGAATAAATTACTTTAGTATATAGTATTCAATAAATATTCATGAGTATTTTTTTAAATACCAGGTATTCGAGAAACCCCAAATGTAGATATTTCAATGCAGGTTTGAATGCGATAATTTTAAGCAAATATAAATATGAGCATCTCAGTATTCTGTATTCGATTTAATTCGATTGTTTACCACTTCTATTGGTCGAGTTAATTAGGTTTTCAATTAGCTTCTCTTTGACCTGCAAATTTTTTTAGTTTATATAATGATTTCCATCTTATTAATGATTCTATTTTTCAAAATGAAAGGATAGGATGGTGTTAAAATGACAACATGTCATTTGAATTAAGTCCCATCTATCCATTATAGTACTCTTTAAAGCTTGCGAGAGGCCAAATTACCACCATAGATCATTGAAGTATCCCCAAGGCTAAAGTAATACCGAGAATATTCCTCTATGGGAAATGGTTTATGACCAATTGCCACTTACTCCACTAAAAAAATCCACTTAAATTTGTGGAGTGACGTGTGCTCTCGGATTCTCCTACTGTGGAATCCGTGGAATCCGAATATTCAGAAGGATCAAAGGATATGCCGTCATGTTTGTTAATTGTTACCAAGTGAACATAACAACGAAGAGAGGAGAAATAAAGCAAAAAAAGAACTTTTCTTCCATACCATGAAACAAAAGAAGTATACATTAGTCTTTTTATTAGAAGTTGTCCGCCATCCATCATGGTTTTAAAATATTTGAAATTCTATTTGCGATCTAAAAAGTTATGTACATCTCCTTACTCTCTCTCTCTCTAACTAAACAAGTACCACGAAAAGGTATATCACTCATTACATCTCATTAAACTTTATATTACCTTACATTCCCTCTTTGTACATCCTACCAAACCAAACCTTAAGAGACCTGAGTATTGACTATCGTACTCGACTCTTATATTGATGTTTTATGTATGACTTTGATTGCTTGCAAAGTGCTTAGTTGAGATAAAATATCATCTATTAGCCATTAAGTTGCGATATTGGACTTGAATTGGACTCAACTAGATTGGAATCAAGACGGAAATCTGTACGCCTGTTTCACATTCGTTCAGTTTAAGTGTTTAACATATGAGTTTGACCTAACAATGATAGGTGATCAGATTTAATCCTAATAATCAAAGATTAGTTAGTTAAACCTAGGCTAAAAGTGGCTGGACTCAGGACTCAGCCAAAGAATAGGAATAAGGTGGTTTAATCATAGATAGAAGGAATAAAATTTCAAATTAACCCCCAACTGCTCATGAATGATATAGATCACTCTTTTTTATGGGAGTTTTCTATAGAATCTGCACTCTCAATCAAGGTTTAATCCTTCAAAGTTAATTTGAAGTAACACATAGTTCTCCCTTCATGGACCTTTGCAACCCAAGAATCCACCAACAAGAAAAACTAGCGCTTATCGCTAAAAAGATAGGATCCTGATTAAGGCAAGTGATTATTATAATCACTACTGAATAGAAAAATGAGAACGTGCGAATGAAGACCAAATCCCTCGACATATCTAATTGGGCAGAAAAGGATATGCCTCCATTATCCACCCAAGGCCAAGATTTTAGGACAATTTCGTTTTCATGAAGATAAGGACAGTTGATTATCTTCACATAATCAAGCTTCGAATAGCTAATCCTCACCTACATGATAATATATACAATAAACATGGTAGGATAACTCCAATAACAACCCCCACTACAACTAGTAGGAACTTAAAAACTTGCATCTTTTATAACAACTTTGCGGATCCATCACAAATACATATATGAACTTTTAATGTATGAAATTTACTAAACAACATGAAGACACAGGCTAACAGTTGTTCTCACACTCAGAGAAGTCTGTATACATACGCATATATTTATGTCGCTTCTCTTTACAAAAAGAGGGAACGAAACTAATCTGGAATCATCTCTATTAACAAACTCTGACAAGGGGAGCCGATGCAGTAGTTGTTCGAGAGGAAGATGAAGTGGCAGATGAATCTGAGTTCGTCTGCTCAGCATCTTCGCTGTTATCATCTCCTTCACATCTCTCTTTGGAGTTTAGAGGACTGGTAGGAGATCTGTTGTTTTTTTGTTTGCTTTGATGCATCGGTTGTTGCGAGGGATGGGATGCAACTGGAGCGAATACTGTGTTTAATGGAGCATTTTGTGTGGCATTGTATTGGGGCGGTGGCATCCAAATGCCGCCGACCAACACAATCTGAGGCTGCTGAGGGCTGCTGTTGGTGCTGTTCTGGACTGCTGAGGCTGTGGGCCTTCTTGTGTGAAGCCGGTATTTCTGAAATTAAGTACACAGTTGATAAGGTGATTGAAGTAGATCGGGTAGAGATATAAGCAACAAATACATTGCACCGTAGGATTGCACGTCGGACTACATAATATGTGATGTACAGAATAACCGTGCATTCAATTGTTGGTGTGAAGCTAATTCTTGAATGGAAAATTAATTTTTGCCAGCCAAGAAACGAAAAAAAAATATGTCAAGGAAGTGATCTTAGTTAATATGTAGATACCATGACCACGCAAATGAATATTATGAAAGACCTTATGTCCAAAAATCCATAGTGAAATCTAGCCGAAGTCTAGAATTTGTTTTAGGACATAAAGGAAATTAGGTTACACTTGATTAACATCCAATGATGTCGCATTGTTAAGTTTATCCCGAGGAATTACAATTTGAAAAAGAGGCTGATTATGATAGTACTATAGAGGTTTATCATCTAGAAGACATTTTGTAACAAAGCAAAGATTGGAATAAAAAGTACAATACCAATCTCTTTCAAAACGCTATTTCATTATAAGAGCTGGTTGTTTGTTACCGAGTACCAGTTCATGCTAGGTAAGGCATAAGAATATTTCTGGCATCCAAAGACCAATTTGTCTGTAACCATTATCATGAGGATCAGCATCCAATGACAACAAACTACAATAAAAGAGCAATAATAGACGGAAGGATGTATAAAATGAAAAGGAGGGTTCATAAAAAATTAAACGAGATGCAGGAATCCAATATTCTCAACAACTTTCAGGAATCATACTTCACAAATATTTGTTGTAGATGCACTGTACCAAAGAGGAATCTATTCTTTTCTTCACCAAGTCGGTTTGCAAAAAGAAACATGCTTCTGGTCTAAAAGAATCTTCTTCAATTTTAGAGTTGAGAAGCTTCAGCAATAAATTAAATTTGGAAAAAAAAAAAAGAAATTGGACCAATTGGATGCAATTTAGGATAACAACAGGTTTATGAAAATCCTTGAAATATCACAATATGAACTCACGTATATTTCCATTTGCTTTTAGTAGTCTCAAGTCACAGAAATCTGCAAAAAGAGGAAGCAAGAATCACCTGCAAATGGCTCTTCACTTCATCATTGGTGAGTCCATCAATCTTCATCAGCTCCCTGATCTGCTTCGGCGTCGCAACTGCAAATATTCATCAAGCCACACCAAAAATCATCAGATACAGGAACAAACAACAATAACATCAAAACCAACAAAAAATATTTGCATCCATTAATAAAACTCACCATGAGATCCTCCGAGCTGTTGCAGGGCATTCAAGAACCTCCGATGAAGCTCCGGGGACCAACACCTCCTCGCCTTTCTCTGCGAAGTCCCTTCCTTTTCCTTCTCCCTCTCCCTCTCCTCCCCGGAGCCGGACCCACCACTTCCGCCACTTCCACCATTTCCTCCACTGGTATTCTCAGTAGTCGAGCTCGCGGGAGCTGCAGCCACCACCGGAGTCTTAACGACAACCTTCTCCTTCTCAAAAGGATGAAATGCTCCTCCTATCCTCTTCGCATTTACAGCAATCGGCCTCATGACTACATCCTGAATCAAACAATTCACCAAAATTCAACATAAATAACAAGAATTCCACCAGCAAAAAATTTCAAGATCTTCTAAAAGATCCAAAAGCTTACTCCTTTAGGCTCGGGTTGCTGGTTCCAGAGCTGGACAGATCTCATCCAGTCCGGCTTCTTATCAGACCCACCACTATTCCCGCTATTTTTATGGTTGTTCTCTTCATCCGACGACGAACAACTCGGCCTCAAGGGAATAAACTCCTCCAAGATCGGCCCTTCACTAGCAATCTCCTCGCCTCTCCCCACCACCTCATCATTCTTCTTCTTGCAGTTCTCAATCGCTGAAAACCCATCACAGAAAACAAACAAAAAAAATTCAGACCCAGCTCAAATTTTCTGCCATTTTCACAATTTTTGAAGGAAAAGTTATACCTTGGGTGACAAGTTGCAGGCTAAGAGGAAGCTCCCTCTCAAAAACTAAAATCTTTTTCCTCTCTTCTTCAAGGGCTTTGAGGTAATCCATGGAGACGACAGCTTCAGATTGAAAATGAGGGAAATTTTCCGAGGTAAAGGGGCAGAAATAAAAGGGGAAAGAGACTAAGGGATCTTTGAGCTAACAAGAGAGAGAGGGGGGAATAAACTTAAATCTAGAGAGAGAAACTAGAGAGAGAAAGAATCGGGGTCGAGACGTCGCGTACAGAACCGAATCTTTGGACGGGCTAGAGAGGAGGAGATTGAATATTCCGCCTGAGGATCCGACCCAAACAGCTGGCGATGACGTCAGCGGAGGACGAGGAGATAAGAACAATGACTAGGATTGATTTCAATCGTTGGACTTGAAATGGTGGGTGGAGATGAGAGATGGGAAGTAGAGAACCGTGAGGGAATAAGGAGGAATCTTCTAGAGATTCCGGAGACAGGGGGCATTAATTGGGCCGCAAGGACCTGCGTCGGTTTTGGATTTTTTTAATTTGTATTATATTATTATTATTACGCGTTGGGGTAGGGTTTGGTAAGGGGGATTAGCTCTTGGAGGAGCGAAGGGTCACTTTTAGGATTAGGGTTAGGTTTTGGACACGGATTGGAATATTACAAGGGAATAAACGAGTGGGATGAAGGATTATCCGGTTCTAACTGGGCCTCCCAGAAAATGTTCATTCCAAAGCTTGTTGCGGAAGCTCAAGAACTCACTAGTAATTGCCTAAATTCTAGTGTATATTTGGGACACTCGGATATGTTTGGTGATCAATAAAAAACTGAGTCAAGAATTGCCGTAATCCAGTTTTGTCCTAAACTTTAGTTTATACCAAGTGAGGGGTGCTCCAAACAAAAACCAGTTTAGTAAGTATTTTTTGGCCTTTAAAAACTTGGGAATAGGGTGTTCTGTCAGAAAATCGGCTATTGCTAGACCCTTAACTGTTTTCTGCGTCATGAATGTCATGTTGTATTGCGATAGCAGTATCGCCCATTTTGCTAACCTGAAATTCAATGACCCAGGTTTCGTCATGAGTATTCGTAAAGGATTAACTTTTGAGATGACGTGAATGGATTGGCCGGTGAGGTAGTGCCGTATCTTCTGAATTGCGAAGACCAATGCTAAATATTCCTTCTCGACTGGGTTATACCGAAGCTCGGTGAAAATCATAGTCCGACTGAGGTAGTAAATGGCTTGTTCATGACCATTATTATCTTTCTGAGCGAGAAGGGCTCCGAGTGAATATCCATTGCCTGACATAGATCAAGAATGGTCTACTTGATATTGGTGCGGCTAGCACTGCTGGTTTTGTGAGATAAGCTTTGTTTTTGTTGAAAGCTTTTTGGCAGGCATCGTCTCAGACGAACGAAACACCTTTCTTTATAAATCTTTGGAATGGTTAACATTTCCCAAACAAATTGGCGATAAACCTTCGGATGTAGGCTAATCATCATTGTAAACCTCTGAGCTCTTTGAGGTTCTTCGGAGGTGGCATCTCCTGAATGGCCTTCACTTTTTTGGGATTGACGTGTATTCCTGTGGATGTTACGTTAAACCTAAGGAATTTTCCTGATGATACCCCAAGGAAGGACTTAGTTAAATACATCTTGAGTTGGTATTTTTGCATAACTTCAAACACCATTCTTAGATCAACAACGTGGTCTCGTTTGTGACGACTTTTGATCGCAAGGTCATCAACGTAGCACTCCATTGTTTTACGCAGATGTTCACGAAAGATCATGTTCATAACGCGTTGGTAAGCAGCTCCAGCGTTCTTCAGACCGAAAGGTATTATCGTATAACAGTATACTCCTAAAGGTATTCTGAAGGCTGTGTGTTTTTGATCATCTGGATGCATTTTGATTTGGTTGTAACTAGAGAAATCGTCCATAAAAGACATCCTCTCAAACCTATATGTATTATCGACCATAATGTCCATGATAGGGAGAGGTAACTCATCTCTTGGATAAGCGATGTTGAGATCACGGAAGTCGATGTAGATTCGGATCTTACCGCTCTTTTTCGTCACCACCATGATGTTCGCTAACCAATTGGGATGTTATTCTTTACGAATAAACTCATACTCAATGAGCTTGCAGATTTCCTTTTCGATTTGTTCCATCAATTTAGGATGGAAGCGCCGTTGCTGCTGTTTAACCGACTTAACATTAGGGTTGATGTTAAGACGATGTACGACCATACTGGTGTCTAGACCCGACATGTCTTTATAGCTCCAGACAAAGACATCAATGTATTCTTGGAGGAGAACTATGAGTTCTTCCTTTTCAGCTGATGATAGACTTTTGCTAATAAAGACGGGCTTTAGGTTAGTTTCGTCACTAATGTTGATTTGGACCACTTTATCTTTGGTGGGTCGTACTCTGATTTTTAAACGTGACTCCCATTGCTTTTTAAGTTGCTTTGCCCATGAATTGTCTTCAGGATCTTCAAGCACCTTGGATTCATCGAGATCCGTGGTTAGGTTATATGAGACCATGTTGGTCGTGAATTCACTACAAAAAAACTCCAAGGCCGATGTCAGAATCCTAGTTAGACGTGTTCGAAGAATTGCTGAGGGAATCATCAGATGCTGGTCCTGCTTGTGGCTCGAATTCTGGAGAGATGTAACCGGGTCCTTATTTGGACTAATTGCAATAATCGAAAAACTTCACCTTCTGGCGTAAATGGTGTCAAAGAGGCTCGTAGTCCTCTATTAAAATTCAATCCTTGTTTTGTAGTGAGACTATATCCCATTTTTACCATGATTTATTAAGATTTCGGCTATACTGGGAAAATTCTGATGTTGTCTTAGCTTCTTCATCAGAGCTCTGTAAATGAGATTGTGACTCAACTTTTTTAAAGATGATTAGGTTCAAAGTGTTCCCTCTGGACAAAACCATGAAGGTGATGTCCTCTAAGTTGTCCAGCTGCTTGTGAGCGAGGTTTGACTAATTTATTGGCATGTGCAATGTTGGTTCTAAGGCTAACCTGGCCATCAGACTTTCGACTCTTGAGTTTTCAAATTCATAGTCTAAAGAGCAGTCATAAGCAAACTCTTCTTCATTGAAAATCTAATTGCCCCTACCTTCGACAGCTTGGTCGATACAGAGGTTCTCTAGGTAATTATAAGTGGATCTATCTCCCAAACTGGATCATTAATGGGATCTAGCTCAACATCTGCTTCATTACCGCTATCCTCATCGTTGGGGAGGACAATCTCAATTATTTGACTTTCATCATATAAGAGAGAGTCAGTGAAGTAGTTCTCCACCCCCTTGAAAGGATGCTTTTTAGCATCAACTCTCTGTTGGACTCCCTGTTCATCAATGTATTTGAAACACTAATGAAGTGTTGAATAGACGATCTGGTTGGAGAGGATCCTAGGTCGCCCAAGCAGGAGATTGTAAGGCGTTTCGATGTCGATGACATAACAAGTCACTTCCATCTTCAAGTTTTCAATCTGACACTTTAGTCAGATCTTTCCAAGAGATCAGCTGCTACTGGAGTTGAGGACGAGTATGGTTGCAGACGTCTTTGAGAGCTTGTGAAGGGAAATTCCCAAGAAGCTCAAGAGTCTTCATAGAATTATGCTCAGCGTAGAGCTTGGATCGATGTGAATCCTCTTGATCCTTGACGACCCTATATATCCAGTGTAGTAAAGAGGTCGGTTGTGATGATGGTCCTTGACCAGCATATCTTCTGGGCTGAAGGTGATGTGCAGCATCTGCTTTTAGCATTGATAGCATTGCTCGGACCCTTCATCCTAAGGAGGTTCGATCATGTGGGCGAGAAATGCCTCACTGTTATTCAGGACTTCTTTCAAAGCCTCTCTCGTATTCTTAGACAAATGCAGTAGTTCGAATAAGGTGATACAGGCCGAAATATTGGTCAATTCTACCATGATGTCATATTTGAACAAGGCCTTAGGGTCACTTGTTAGAGGACACTATAAGGCTTTGTTGAACCGGGTCTCCTTATGCTTGGCTGGTTCGGGTTGTTTGGCCGTTCTTAGCTGATTGTAATCCCTTAGGTAATCTTTGCCGGATCTTGTCCCTATCATGGCTACTTTTTCTCTGTCCAAGTCCATGAGTGAAGTGACATGCATGGACTCTTCTTCAATGATCGTGGAGATGGTGTTACAGGCCATCATCTTTTGCTTGCTCTTGGACTTAGACTTCAGAAGAGTTCAATCTTTATCTTGGATATATCTACATTATTTCTCATCTCGTCGTGGTAAGAGGAACAAAGCCTCGACTTTGTTGGTTTTGGCAGTCATAGTTAACCACCTCCATTCTTATAGTAGGAATGAGGATGACACTATTTTGAGCTTGAATCTCTGGCATAGAACCGAATTGGGAGGTTACTATGTTAGCGGTGACTTTCTTTTGCTTGGGTTTAATCTTAAGAATTCATGATTCAACAAACATCCAGATCTTATCCTTGAGGATATAGCAGTTCTTAGTCGGGTGTCCTAACATTCTACGATAGAGACAGTAGATGGGGTCATTTGTCTTTCTAGCTTCTTTCAGATGTCGAGCTTCTGGAAGCTTCAGACGATTTTCCTTGTTGAGGACGTGGAAGATGACAACTATATGTTCATCCTTGAACGAATAATTGTGCTAAAAATTCTTTTTTGACTCTTTTTATTGGTTGTTATTGACACTCTGGACTCCAACAACGAAAGTTTCTTTGGATTTTAGTTGTGACAAACGCCCTTGTTTTCCTTTGTTACCCTTGAAGTTGGTGCGAGGTTTAAATTTATTGAAATGATATGACAACTTCTAGGCTATCTCAGCTTGATCCATCAAATCTTTCCAACTGTGAGCAGTGACAACACCCATGTGGGCTTCACTTCGTGCTAGGAAGTTGTGGCAGGAAGTTTGAAGTAGCATTGGTAACGACATATCTCAACATTGCAATGTTAAGTTACGATATCTTTTGATGTATTCCCTGACTGTCTCATTCCCGTTTTGTTTCTCAGAAAGAAGTTTGGCCATGGTGACATCGGATTATTCCTCATGGAATTGAGATAAGACCTTTGATTCCAAATCCACCCAGGACCTGATTGATCCCCCATGCAAATTTTGAAATCAATTAAAGGCTACTCCCTGAAGGGTGCTAATAAAAAGACACGCCTTAATGGCATCGTTACCCACTACATTTTTAGTTTGCTGGTGGAAGTAGTAGATATGCTAGTTTAGGGAC